CTTGGGTCCAGATCCTAATCTCGCTAAGGAAATCAGGCTCCCGGTTGGCTGGAGCCGGTGTGTCGGACCTTTCTCCATATTTAGTACCCTGCCCCCCTCCATCCTCCATAGAGGAAGAGAGATGAGTTTTCCAGCATTTACTGGAAAGCTTGTTGCTATAGCAGTGGTGAGGGGTCAAGGCAGAAAGGAGGTGGAGCAGGGAGGTTCCGGAGTGACTTGCCTCTGCTCGCTAGCCACCTGACATGGTAGGCACCTTACTGCGGTACTCTGGCCTAAGGGGTCTTAGTTTTGTTTGTTGCTAACCATTTATATTAGTAAAAAAATAACCCCACCTGCTTTTTGGCTTGGGCCTTATACTAAGACTTGCTCTCCGGGGGTTTCCTCACTGCCTCCACTTGAATCCATCTGTTGCTTCCTCAAGGCCTGGTCCCCAGCTCGTTTCCTGTCAGCTCTGACTTGAGAGTTCTTTTCAGTCACTGCACTCTTCGTCCAGCTCCATGGCTTCTCCCCGTCTAGTGTGCCTGTCCTCAGCAGAGGGGTCCTGAAGAAAGAGGCCACTTAAATATATTGCCATAGGGACCATTCATGAGACACTCATGGCACTAGAATACTGCCTTTTTTTTTTTGCTGTTTTTCACAACAACCCTAGGAAAGATGTGTGACTAGGGCCGGCCCCGTGGCTTTTTTGGTTAAGTGCGCGCGCTCCGCTGCTGGCAGCCTGGGTTCGGATCCCGGGCGCACACCGAGGCACCGCTTCTCCGGCCATGCTGAGGCCACGTCCCACGTACAGCAGCTAGAGGGATGTGCAGCTATGCCATACAACTATCTATTGGGGCTTTGGGGGAAAAAATAATTAATCAAAAAAAAAGGATTGGCATCGGTTTTTAGCTCAGGGCTGATCTTCCTCACAAAAAAAAAAAGCAACCTTTTGAATGTAGATAACTGATGAAGCTGAGTGATGGTTACATGGAGGTTTATTACATTATTCTTTCTCTGCAAAAGAAAGTAACCGTTTAAGACTTAGTGATACAAGAAATGCATTAATAGGGCCGGCTCCGTGGCTTAGCGGTTAAGTGCGCGCGCTCTGATGCTGGAGGCCGGGGTTCGGATCCCGGGCACGCCCCAAGGCACCACTTCTCCGTCCAACCCGAGGCCGAGTCCCACGTACAGCAACTAGAAGGATGTGAACCTATGACATACAACTATCTACTGGGGCTTTGGGGGGAAAAAAAATGAATAAATAAAATCTTTAAAAAAAAAAAAAAGAAATGCATTAATATATTTTTTAAAAATTATATGAGGTGCAAAATGTGAAAACTCATCATTCTTATTCCCATTCCTCTAATCCCTAGAGGATAATACAGGTGACAGTTTGGTGTTTTTCTTTTACATGTATTTTTGTATATGTACACATACTTATGTTTACATATATTTATTGTGCACATGTGCAAGTTTTTCTTTAGAATTCCATTATGGAATTACTGTATCAAACAGTATATGCATTTAAAATTTTGAAAGTACTGCCTTCAACAAGGCTACATGAATTTTCACTCCAATCTGTGCTACATGACTCTGGAGTATGCCAGAAATCCTTTTTGGGAACAGGTGGGATATAAATAATAAATTAATGCTTTTTAAAAACAGCCCTCAGCCAGGGAGAGAAGCGACTTGGGTACGACGAAAATTACTAGCTCTCAGTCCCAGACTACAAGGCATGCCTGCAGCCGCAGCCACGACTCATGGATTCGATGCATGCCACCTTTAGGGAGGCAGCAGGAAGGAGGACTGAACTTCGCAGTCTCAGCAGAAAAAAAGCCCTCTGATGTCTTGCTTACCTTGGCTGCATCAGCTCTGGGCTCCACCTGCCTGGCCTGATTTGAGGCTACTCTGGGACTGCCCTGGAAAACAGCCGCTGTCACACTTCTTACGAGGAAAACATCCAGCTGAAGGAGAGGAACTCATAGACTACCAAGCTGGGGTGAAAGGGAGGCCAGCCTTTCTACTCCAGTCTTCCTGTGTCTAGCCCAGGGAAACCTTGGGGTTGCTATTTAATGCAGTAAATCTGTTTTCCTTTTCCCTCCAAACTGTGTGTTAGTATATGTACTTTAAAAAAATGTTTTTTAAAAAGGCCTTTTGACATAACTTTGGAAGATTTGGTGAGGAGAGGCAGAGGCAGATTAGAGGTTACAGCCCTAATTTTTCCTACTTTTTTTTTTGTGTGTGTGTGAGGAAGAGCAGCCCTGAGCTAACATCGGATCCCAATCCTCCTCTTTTTTGCTGAGGAAGATTGGCCCTGGGCTAACATGTATGCCCATCTTCCTCTACGTTATGTGGGACGCCGCCACAGCATGGCTTGACAAGCGGTGCATCGGTGCGCGCCCGGGATCTGAACCTGTGAACCCCGGGCCACCAAAGCAGAGCACACGCACTTAACTGCTTGCGCCACTGGGCCAGCCCCTCCTACTCTTTTTTAAAAAGGAATATGTATATATTTTTTATTCTCTTTTGTGTGTTTTCTATTCTCCTAAAGATATAGTCTTTTCCTTTTAACCACAATTCATAGGTAGTGACCAGAGAAAGTACAAGCTCCAATTTCCTTACATGACAGTATTTTTTCTTGAAGCGAAAATAGTGATCAAGTTTGAGGTTGCTTTTAATAATTTTATTTATTTATTTTTCCCCCAAAGCCCCAGTAGATAGTTGTACGTCACAGTTGCACATCCTTCTAGTTGCTGTATGTGGGACGCCGCCTCAGCATGGCCGGAGAAGCTGTGTGTCGGTGCGCACCTGGGATCCAAACCCGGGCCGCCAGCAGCGGAGCGCGCGCACTTAACCGCTAAGCCACGGGGCCGGCCCGAGGTTGCTTTTAAATTTTAAGAGAAAATAAGACTACTTTGGCTTAGAGTCTGCCTTGCAGACACAGATCCTGAGATATTTTCTTTAAACAAGTATACAAACAGGCCATGGTCATATGCTTGTTGTGATAAAATAGTACAGAAGTAGCTCTAAATAGGGTCAAAAGTGAATATATCCCCCTTTAGTGCCTTACAATACCCTCCTCCCCAGAGGGAACCAAGGTTAACAATTTACTGTATATCTAGACCTCTTCCTTTGCAGTTACAAATACACACTTATATATTCATATACTTTTTATCTTAAAGAATGGGATTCTGGGCCTTGTTTTTTTCCCCCACTTATATATCTTTGAGATCTCCCCATACTAGTCCGTATAGATGGATCTCATTCTTTTTAACAGCTGTATAACATGAGTGGATGCAACTGTAATTTATTGTAAATTTTCAGTGTTACAAATGGTCTTCCAGTAAACATCTTTGTGCATACACGTAGGCTAAATTCCTGGCCGTGGAATTGCAGGTAAAAGGGTTAATACGTTTGTTGTCATCCCTAGAAAGACAAAAGCTGGCGTCCAGGTAACTCTAGTCCTGGTACTCTGAGAACAAAGGTTCAAAGGGCAAGTGAGTGTGGGAAATGGTTGCATGCTAAGCCCCCCTCTTGGCGATTCACCATCAAGTAGCATATTAAAAGTTCTGGAAATTCTTCAGTAACTACTCACTGCTGAGTGGTTTAAAAAGAGTTGTTTGCAAAGGGAAAGACTTTAATTCTTTGTACACATCCATTAAAGTTTCCCTGAACAGTTTGCTAAGTGCCACCTGGTGGTAATCTCTCAAAGACAGGACAGCATTTATTTATTTTTTTTTTTTTTAATTTTTATTTATTTTCCCCCAAAGCACCAGTAGATAGTTGTATGTCGTAGTTGCACAGCCTTCTAGTTGCTGTATGTGGGACGCGGCCTCAGCATGGCCGGAGAAGCGGTGCGTCAGTGCGTGCCCGGGATCCGAACCCGGGCCGCCAGCAGCGGAGCGCGTGCACTTAACCGCTAAGCCATGGGGCCGGCCCCAGGACAGCATTTAGATATGAGCTTGGCCACATACTCTTCCACCAGGCTGGGCAGCTAGGGTGGGGTCAGGTTTGAATTTTGTCCAGGAACCAGGCTAGGCCTATCAGCCCCTCACATCAGGTGAGAGGGACCCACCAAGGCCTGGCATAAATCAAGTCTTGAGGCTGACCATGGGGAGAGGGGTGGAGTTTCACTCTAGCCTAAGTCTGGCTGAGAGGTGACATCAGACCTAGCAGACACACTTCCCATCAGTCAGGCTGGGGCCTCCAACACAGAAGAGTATGGATCCAGAATCCCTAGAGTAGGAGCCACTTGGGGTGTAAGAAGGCAGCCTTACCTCCCTGCCTCTCTCCTCCAACTGGCGAAATCATGGTTAACTTCCAAGGTTCAGTGCAGATGTCACCCCTGTGAAGCCTCTCCTGGATCCCCCAGACCACTCGTGTACTCTGGTAGTACCTTTGCTGTACCTCTGTCAGAGCAGTCAGCAGTCTGGTTTGTCTTCTAGTTCATTCATACTGGGCTGGTCAAGAGGAAGGGACACATAGTGAATTGTGTACTTCACAATCTTCCCCAACAAAGTGGGAGCTCCTCCACAGTGGGACTTTCCTTCACTCATTCATTCAGTCAGTCATTATTGAGTGCCTACCATGTGTCAGGCATTAGCTAGACTGCCCCAATACAATGGTGAATGAGGCAGACCCAATCCCTGCCCTCATTCATATTCTTATATCCCCTGTAGTGTAGCCCAGTGTCTAGCCCAAAGCTGGCAGAGTAGGGTTTAGGAATGGAAATCTAAGTGGAAAGCTGCCTTTGCATAGCAAGCACTGTTTTAACTTACCTTCTATGCTACAGATTAAAAAACATTTTCTCCAGATGCCTTGTCCACAGTTTATATGACAGAAAGTCATTTGACCATACGAAATATTTTTAAAACATTTGAGGTGACCTTGGGGCCTGACGGAGAGTCTGGGAGTACCAAGGCCCCAGGCACCGCCGGGCTCACCACCTGGCGGGCCGCTGCGCGGCCGTCCGCAGGCCCCGCCCCCCAGGTGCCGCCGGCCCCGCCCCCGCTCTCCATAGTTACGGCGCTGCGGAGGCGGCGGCCATCTTGGCGGCGGAGCGATGAGCGGGTCGAACTCCAAGGCTGCGGCCGCGGGCTCGGCGGCGGGCCCCGGGGGGCTGGTGGCTGGCAAGGAGGAGAAGAAGAAGGCGGGCGGCGGCGTCCTGAACCGGCTCAAGGCGCGGCGGCAGGCGCCTCACCACGCGGCCGACGCCGGCCTCGGGGCGGCGGTCACGGAGCAGGAGCTGCTGGCTCTGGAGGCCATCCGGCCCGAGCACGTCCTGCGCCTCAGCCGGGTCACCGAGAGTGAGTGCCGGGCCGGCCGCGCCCTCCCCTCGCGCCGGCCCCCGTAGCCTTCGGCGGAGCCGGCCGCTCCACCGGCCCAGGGATCCACCCAGGCCCCCGGCCGGCCAGGCCGCGCTGCCCACTGCCCCGCCGGGCTGGGACTGCGGACCCCCTCGCTAGACATGCTGGGGAAGGGGTCCCTGGAGCTTGACTGCGTTCCCCGAGGCCCGCCGCGCCAGGCTGCTCCTCGGTCGCCCCAGCTGGGCCTTCGGGCCGGGCCCTTCCCCTCCTCAGCTGGACCGGCTTGGGTCGGGCGCCCCCTTCAGGTTAACCCGATCCTCCTGAGCCTGCCCAGGCCGTGGCCCACTCAGCCTGGAAGTCCCCCAGCTCTCAGTGAAGTTCCTGCTCAGCCAGGCCCCCTCAACCTGCCTGCCCCCAGCTTCTGCAGCCTCTGCCAGCCTAGACCCCTACCTGCTTTCTCTGCGTTTCCCTCCACCCCGGCCCCTGACAGCCCCGCCCCCTGTCCACCCTGCCTTGGCCCTCTACCCTTTTTGGTACCAAGCGTCGCCCCTTTGTGTGCAGGGGGTTCTTCCTTCCTCAAACACATTGCTGTGGCATTTCATGCAAACTTAAAACTGTGCCACATAAAAAAATATATGTTAATAAAGTTTCAGTTTATGTACAAAATCCAAAATGTGAATCCTCCTTTTGACACTTGTTCTAGTAAATTAAGAATTATGTCAGGGTTTCAGAAGTGCGTTTCTTGCATAAAATGCAACCATCCTGCACCTTTTTATTGATAGAAGGAAGGGTGGGAAGAAATACATTGCCCACCCCCTGTCCTGGTTCTCCCCGCTTCTTCTGTTCTCTTCCCAGCCTAGCCCTGACTTGATGCCCTGCTCTTTCTCTTGCTGCTGTTTCCCCTCAAGAGTTTACAGTCGCCTGCTTAGACCCTGCTTGCCTGTGCATCCCGCTGCCCTCCAGACTTGTAACCCTGCAGCACCAGCACTCGCTTAATGGATCTGAGGCTGCCATAGTGGTATCTGCTGAACTGCTTTAGTAGTCATCCTGGGGCTGCTCAGGTGTACCTCAGGAGCTGGGGGCAGCGCCAGTGATTTGGGGATGGGAGTTTGGGGGGGTGGGCCTTGGTCCAGCCTGTATGAGATGAAATTCCCATCTCCAAAAATAGTTCTAGTTTGATTCTGGATATCTCCATGTCCCCATTTGCCATCACTGTTTGGGTTGGGACTGTCCTTTGCATGCCTGAGTATAGATTTAGAAGGTCTTGCTCTTCAATTTCATTGAGACATTGTGAAAAAGCTGCTTCTGTTCCGACCCGGTTTTCATTTGGGACTCTGAAGGTACAGAAATGCTCATCACCTGATCTTTCTAACCTCATGCTTTCTCCTGATATTGAGGGGGAATTAGGCTATTCTGATAGCTGGCCCTAAGCAGCATTCCCAGTGGGCACTCAGGTCCTGTGTAGGAGCTTGGGATTGGTGCTGTTGCTCAAGCCCACCTCAGCAGCTCACTGGAGAAAGCCACAGGTCAGAGCTTGGTGGTCTCTGGATTTTGTTACTCTTCTAAAAGTCTGTCCCATTCAGCAAGTTATTTATTGAGTACTTTCTAAAGATGCAGAATCGATCTCAGTCTTTGGGGAGTTACGGAATAATTAGTAGCTCTCAAGTTTGCCAGCTTACTGGAGAGACAGCTTGTGAAATATGAAACAACTAACACAAGCAGGCAGGATAAGATAAAGCGCCAAAATGAGTTGTGGAGAAGATGCTGTCAGGAGTCAGGGTAGAAGAAACCAGTGAAATTTTCTGTGATCAGTACTATTATGATTAGCTGTTCGGGTTGTTGTAGGTTCTACTTCACTTTGGCCTAATGCCTTCACCAGCAAATCTGTCCTGCCACCTGTGTGGGTATGGCCCACCGCCCAATTTTGTACAGCCCACAAGCTAAGAATGGTTTTTACATTTTTAAGTGGTTGAAAAAAATAATATCTTGTGACACATGGTTATATACATATTTCAGTGTCTATAAATTGTTTATTGGAATACAGCCACGCTCATTCATTTGTTGTGTGTGGCTGCTTTCACACTACAGTGACAGAGTTGAGTAGTTGTGAGAGGCTGCGTGGCCACAAAGCCTAAATTGTTTATGTCTGGCCCTTTACGGAAGAAGTTTGCTGATCTCTGCTTTGTGATACAACAAAACAAACAAGCACTATATTAGCCATTAGATCAGGATAAATGTTTCAAAATGGATTTCTACAAAAATTCTGTCTTGTGATATCTTTAGACATGATCTAAAGTTGATGATGAAAGGTTTGTAGGCCATTTTTGAAGTGTTTCCAAAGAAATCCCCTTTTACTATCTCTGTTTCTAAAAGTGTTGGATAATCTTTCATCCAAACCAAGTCCATACTCTTTTCTTTCTTGGATCCCCTAATTCTCCCCATACAACTTTTGCTTATAACATAAGAGGAGATTTTTGGGTGTATTTTAAGTGAATTGTGTAAGAAAAAAACTTGAGTTTGCCTCAAAACTTAATAAATGTTAGTTTTGGAGGGTTATTTTTGTTTTGTTTCAGTTTTATTGAGATATAATTGACATACAGCGCTGTCAGTTAACAGTTACTGTGTGGTATAGATTTGCACGTTGCTGAGAGAGTAAATCCTAAAACTTCTCATACCAAGAAAAAGAACTTGTTTTTTGGCGATGAATGTTAACTAAACTTATTGCGGCGATGTTTATGCACTATATGCATATCAAATCGTGCTATACACCTTAAAATTACACAGTACCTGCTGCGCTTTGCTTGAGCTACTGGAGCAGCAGAGACCCAAGATCTTTCTGGCTGTCTCTCTGCCCTAAACAACTTGCACCTCCTATTACTAGCATTTATCTCCACAGTCAGAGTTGGTCAAAAGCAGGAGGACGGGTACAAGATCTTCCCATTTATTCGTTCATCAGTTATGCACCGAGGACTCATCCTATGCCAGATGCCCTGGTGGGCCTCAGTGCAGGGCTGAAAACGACTGAGTGGTCCTGCCTGCCAAGAGCTCATGGTCTGGAGGGGAGATGGACAAAAGCATGACAGCAAAGACCTGAGAAAGAAGAGAGCAAGTGCTGGAGTGAAACAAAGCAGGGGGCTGTGAGGGAGGGCTGGGGGTCACTGGGTAGGAAAGTCTGAAAGGCCTCACTGGGGTGACGTTTGCTGGAACCAGAATGACAAGAGGGAGCCAGCCCTGCACAAGTCTGGGAGCAATGTGTCAGGGAGAAGGCACCACTGCTGCAGAGTCTCGCAGGCAGAAGTGAGTTTAGCCAGAGGAGGTTAGAAAGGTGGCCAGTGCAGCTGGAGGGAGGCTGGGAGGAGAGAACAGGAGACAGAGGTGGATGGTAGGGCCAGGTCCTGCAGCCTAGTAGGCTATGTTAGTTAACTTTTCCTCTCTGACTACACTGCTCAAAATCTTTGCATTTTAAAACTGTAAATATTTAATGTCTCACAATTTGTGTGAGCCAGCAATTGAGGACGGCTCAGCTCGGTGCCTCTGCCTCACAGTGTCTCACAGGCTGGGGCTGTGGCCTCAGCTGCGGTGCAACTGGGGGAGGATTTGCTCGCAAGTTCACTCACAGCTTTCAGGATTCAGCTTGGTCTGAAAGCTGAGTTTCTTTCTGTCTGTTGGCCTGGGCACTTGGAGGATTATTTAACGGCATTAGTCTCTATCTCATTTTCAGATTATTTATGTAAACCTGAAGACAACGTCTACAGTATTGATTTCACTCGCTTCAAAATTAGAGATTTGGAGACAGGGACAGTGCTTTTTGAGATTGCCAAACCTTGTGTTTCAGGTAGGTCTTAATATTGTAGTGGTTGCTTGACAGTTAGAGCAAAAGGTCTTTGAAGCTTGGATTTTTGTGTGCCATTGCATCCTGTGTCATGGACTCCAGCATGTCCTGCTTCCTTGACCTCTTCGGGAAGCCTGGCTGGCAGCCTGCTTTGAAGCTGTGTTGAGAGGCTGGTGTTTGTTGAGTGTCTACTCTGTGCTGGTCACTGTGTTCCATGTCTTTCTGTTTACATCAGCTCATGTAGTCCTCACACCTCTGTGAGGAGTTATCCCCATTTTACAGATAAGGAAGCTGAGGCCCAGAATTTCCAAGTGACTTTCCTAAGGTCCTGTGCTCTTTCATCTTATCATATTGCCTCCAATTAGGAAAGGAATCCTTGAAATTAAACTCTAATGAGGAAAGCTCACCTGAGCCTTGAGTCCTGGGGACACTCTAGAAGGGTGATACTGAGCATTCCAGTCTAGACCATGAGGCAGTTTCACCTGTTTCCTCACACACTTTCTTTTAAATAGTGTCTCATATTTCCCAGTAGATCCTGGTTTGGATTTTAGTCTGAACCATTTTCTGGATGAACAGAAAGTCCAGACCTATGAACTCATCTCCTTGGGATTCCTTAAATTAGCTTTGAATAGACACTTCCTGTGCTTGTGATGCAGTTCCAGCGTGATTCATTTCTGGCTAGGGGACCACACATAAGTCTTTGGAGCACATCACTGGAGATTTAGCACCCCCTGGAGTTAGTTATTAGAATACCAGCACAGAGTGTCAGCCGTGGTCTGTAATAATAACTCTTTTTGCAAAGCTTTTCTCATCTGATATGCTACTCAGAAAGAACATGTAAATTAGTATTTAAAGAGTATTAAATTTTTTAATAAATTAAATTAAATTTATATATATATATAATTATATATATATATAAATTAAATTTAAAGAGTATTTAATTAGTATTAAAGAGCAGTTATTAGTATCCCAAGTAAGTTGAAAGACTTTCCTGAGAAAGTCTCAGCTCAGGTTAATTGCACAACCAAGGCTAAAGCCCTCGTCTCCTCACCCCACCCAGTATTCTTAATGCTACAATAACCTAGTACTGACCAAGGTGCCTAAAGGCTCAAGCTTGTGGGTACTTAGCTTGTATTTGGAGGATCAGGGCCAGCTAGCTTCCTGGGTCTCTGGTGTTCACATCCCTAAGTACATGTCCCAGTACTTAGGATGTTTTGAGGACCCCAGGGCTACTTCAGGTGTGTGGATTTGGATTAGCCTGGGCCCGGAGTAGTCTTTTCAGTACAAAACTGAACTGTCTTAAGAAGGTCAGCTGCAGATTCTATAAAAATACCTTGATTTTCAGTTTCTTCAGTCTTTATGGATCTTGATTCACTTAAAGTATGCTCACACTGAATCAGTCCCTTCCTGCAGCACTTGTTCTGATGAGTTCGAATCCCTGAGAAGATTTGTTCTGTCTCTCTTTGAATCATGTTGTTGCAGCCAGTGCTCTAGAGTCTCTACGCAATCTGATTGCCCAGTGTTCTTGGGCTTGTCACAGGCATAGATGTTTGACGCTGAAAAAGACTTATGTTGCACCCACGTTCAGCCTAGACCTGAAGAAAACGTCTTTGCTGAACACTGAATGGCTACTAGAGGGAACTAACTCCTTGTTCACATTAGAATGGTTCTCTGATTCGTTTTACAAATCTTTCATCTCCTGGGCTCAGGAATGGCCTAGACCAGAGACCATCATTAACCTTGTGGATGCTTATTCAGGTGTCACACGTTGGTTCATTGCCCATCTGCTTGACCCTTTGCCAGGTGGTCAGACGGTTGGGCCTGATATGGCCTGGAATAGGCATTAATCCAAGGAAGTACAGTACCCCAGAGCTGTAGGTCAGTGTCTTCCATTTAAATAACAAAATTATTTCTAGGGGTTTGTCTTTGCTGCCTGTCAGAATTTTTTGCGTTCTTCAAAGGTGCCTTTTGACTAGCTTCAACTTTTAAAATCTCATTCTTTTGGTTAGTGACTAGCACATCAACTTGGTCAACAGCAGAGCTAGTCTGTATAATATAGACCACGTCAGGGGCCTAGTACCCAGCTTATGCTTCAGGCTTCACCCTTAGGATACAGCCCAAGCCCCCAAATTATACAAAAGGCAAATAGCTTAGTGTTTAAGAACAGGCCTTGAGTCACATGGACCTGGATTCAAATCCCTGCTCCCTCCATTTACTATTTGGAGGATTTTGGACATATTACTTAACCTCTCTGAACTTGAGCTTCCTGATCTATAAAATGAAGACAATAATAACACAGAGTTGTTGTGAGGATTCTGTGACGTGTTGAGCACAGGACCTGGCATATAGCAAGTGCACAGTCAATATTGGCCATCCTACTGTTGGTGTTAGTACTGTTAATTGGTTGTGTTGTTTGGATGGGTGGTGCCGAGATGGTGCACCCAGGATTCTGTGTGCTCTTTCAGACCAAGAGGAGGAGGAGGAGGAGGAAGGTGGAGATGTGGATTTCAGTGCAGGACGTTTCGTCCGCTATCAGTTCACACCAGCATTTCTTCGCCTCCGGACAGTTGGGGCCACGTGAGTACCAGTATTTCCTGTGGGGAGAACATTCTGCTTATTCACAGAGAAGAATGTTCTTGGTTGGGTTTTGGGTTGGCTTTCCAGGAGGGCAGAGGCAAAGTCAGGCTCACAGAGATTTATTTTGCAGAGTGGAGTTCACAGTGGGAGACAAACCTGTGTCAAACTTCCGGATGATCGAACGGCACTATTTCCGGGAACGCTTGCTGAAAAACTTTGACTTCGATTTCGGCTTCTGTATCCCCAGCAGTAGGAACACCTGTGAACATATCTATGAATTTCCCCAGCTTTCTGAGGATGTCAGTAGGTATCTCCTGACTTTGATAGCATTCTAGATTGTTAGGGCTAGAAAGAACAAATCTTGAAATCCATCTGGTCCAACTTCCTTATTTTGCAGAGGAAGGAAACAGTGACATGACACATAGCTAGTCATTTGACCTCAGGCTTCTCATTTCCTATTGCTCCTGCCTAATGTTTCAAACTCTGAGTCTGTATAGGAGCATCAAAGGTTTTAATAATACAAGCCATCCTTTTTAGTTGCTTGCTATGGGAAAGGGAGTGATTGAGGGAGATAAGAGGAGGCCCATGACAATCCTTGGGACTCCAGTTGGATAAAGTGCCTCGCCTCGCCACTGTTAGTCATGGTTTTCCACCGTGTTCTAGTCATTGGCACTCTTCGTTAGCCCTTCACTTTTCCTTAATCAGAGCCGGGTATGAAATTGCGGGCTAAATAGAATCATAGGTCTGAGGACCTCCTCTTTCTCATTCTCTGCAAGTAGAAGGTTGATTAGATAAACTGTTAGAATAGATCCAGCAGGAAATAGGAAGCTGTTGCAGGTTTTGAAGTAGAAGGAGTGACATAATGGAAGCAATGTCTTAGGAAGAGTAATTCTGTAGTTGTATAGAGGAAGAAATGGGGAAGGCACCAGAGGGAGAAGGCTAGGCAAGGGAAGAGACAGACTTAGAGAGAAAGAACAGCCTTTATCATTTATATTGCTTTGGTCTAGCTATCCCAGGTTAGCATTTCCTGTTAGTAATTAGGAAAAATTGCTCCAGAACAATGAGGATTTGAGTGGGATCCTATGAATAGTGGTGGAGTTTAGTTGGGTTATGGGGAAGGATCTACATACGCTGACTAGTTTTCTTGGAATCCCACGTTCTTAAAATTTTCATATTCTGAAAACCAGGTATTCTTTACTCACGTGGCAATGCTGTTCCCAGGTAAAATGAGGATTGCTGAGATGTGGGAAAGGGTGTTTATGACAGCATCTGATTCTGGTTTGAACCCTGCTCCACACCTGGGCTGAAATATGTAAAGATTATGTATAGCATTTGAAGTTTTTGCCCAAGGCAATATAACTTTTATTCTTGAAACCAAGTAAACGAAGAGTGTAGAGGTCAATATTCTGGGTAGAAATCAAATAGCTTTGGCCTAGATGGGTTCAAAGAATTTTAAACAGTCATTTTCACCTTGTGAGAACTGTGGTGAACAATAGCGTTTCCTCTAGAGGACTCCAAATAGCATGTGATCATTAACTCAAAACTGATCAGAGGTAGTGACTTCATTATCTTGACTCTCCAGTATGGGTAAAGCAGTCTGGGCAGTTACCTGAACAATAGAAGATTTAAATCTGGATCCCAAGATGTGCAGACCTTTTGCTGGATCATTTGGGAGTTAATAACCTGAGCCATCTCTGGAGAAGGCTCCTTGCCATTTATCCCCCTGCCCTCATGCGCACCTAGGATTCCTTTGGTTGTCCCTTGGTGCCTGTGGGAAGTGGCACCATGAGGCACAGCTTTCTGAATTTGGCCCAGCATATCTAGAGGTGGGGAACAAACAGACCAAAAGCACTGAGTCAGTAAGCTGCTGAGCTCCATGTTTGCAACAAGGTAGGTAAACACATTTCCCTTGGGTACTGACTAAGCATCCAGGCTGGAGATGACCAAGGAGGGCCATGTCAGAGAGTTGATTCCATCCTCTTTTGAAGTGGATATCAGGTTCAATTTGGGGGCCTCTGTGGTCTCCATTTCTCCCCAGCTCTCAAGAGTTGGCTCTCGCTGTTCTGACCTCATTATTCTGGGATACTGTACTCGTGTTTTCCGGAAGGGCTGGTTTATGAATTTTAGGGGGGATGCTAAGTTTTTTCCCACCTAGCCCCTGGGGCAGACTCACACATAAATCTTTGCTTTTTTCCTTTCCCTGACTTGCAGTTCGTTTGATGATTGAAAATCCCTATGAGACCCGTTCTGACAGCTTCTACTTTGTTGACGACAAGCTGATAATGCACAACAAGGCTGATTATGCCTATAACGGAGGCCAGTAACTGCTGCAGGAGTGGACAAGGGAGGTGCTTTGCTGCGGCCCAAGGTCCTGGCACACGGAGGTGGTTGAAGCTGCTGTTTGTCCACGCTCGTCTGGAACACGGCCCAGGAAGCCAAGGCTGGGGTGGCAGTTCCCTGTGCTCCAGGAGAGGTGCCAACAGTACTGTGTTTGCTTCCCCAGTATTTTTTCTTCCCTTTTTTGCCTTGCCCCTTAGGTTGCAGAGGTACTATATAAAGTCAAAGATTAGGATAAGGCTCCTGGAATCCAGATAAAAAAAGTTTATTTTCATGTAGTCATAGCTGCCTGCTGATTGTCCTGACTAACCAGGGTCTCTCCAGGCATAGCTGTGCCCGGGTAGGGAGGCTCTGGTCGGCCTACCTGCAGGTTAGCAGCACTTCTGTAGGTTCCTGGGTGCTGTGGAAAGCTGAAAGGTAGGCCTCTTCCAGGCATCTCTTCTCACTTCTGGTGTTGTCATCAGCACAGTCTGACCTCACCCTGTGCATAGTCCTAAACCAACTGGAAAGAAACTTGAAGGAGAGGGGAACGGAGGGTTGGTGCCAAGAGTTGAGGCACTAGGGATGGGTAAGGCTGCCAAATGGAAAGATCCAGTTTCTGGAGAGGCCTGCTTATTTGTCTGACTTCCAGGATCCTCACCCAGTCCTCCTGGGGACACACCAAGGTTTTAGCCTAGCAGTAGCTTCCTGTTCTCATTTTGGAAGGAAGTTGAGCTTGCTCTGATTCTCCTAGCTCCTGGCTATTGGGTATCTCCTGAAATAGAATGCGTCAGTTTTGCTCTTGGGACAGTAGTATATCTTGAGGCCAGAGCAGGCCTCATTGTATTTTGTTTTTTTTATTTCTAGGCTTCTTTTTGGGAAGTTTCATAAAATGTCAGTGGTGTTCCCAATGTATGTGATGTGCAGTTGGACTTCTGATAGTGTTAATCAGGCTCCTGGGGCTAATCTGGCTCGTGCTGGAGCAGGGTATGGTTACAAACCAGAGCTCCTTTAAAGGAGGGGTTTGGTTTTCTCTACACAGCATAGCTGGGAGGATTGGCTTTTGATGGGGATTTGCCTCTGAAACTCTTTGTAGATTGCTTATTTAGGAGGATTTTCAGTAGTTTCTGGAACCATCTGACAGGGCAGACCTAAGTAACATGTATTCTCATCCTTCAAACTGCTAGTTGGAGTTGTGCTGGGTGTTTGGAAAGGGTGAGACAGGCTGCAGTAGCCTGTCAGAGAGATGTGTTCTCAAAAGAGCATGCTCGCACAGCCTGTGGGCTACTTTTGTCCTTGGGCCCTTACTGCATGGACTGTTGCTGTCTCAGCTGCCTATGGTTGTCTGACTGTGTGGGTGGCTCCAGGTGCTCAGCCCAAACTCTGTAAGATCGTTGCTGTGGCTGGGATTTAGCACTGATAGAAAAGGAGCAGTGGGAAGGGCCCAGGTATGTGGTAATAGTCACTGTGAGGCGCCAAGTAACTGTGACAGGAGAGCTGTCTCCCAGGGTGCTTGGGAGGATGGCCGTGTGGAGCCAGGGAAAGAAGGGCCAGCACTTTGCTGCAGAAGCCCCTGTGCATTCACTGACCAGTGTTGCTCTCTGTTTGGATTCTAGGGCGTGAGTGGCCTTGAACCTTGGCCCAGTGCTTTGTGCCAGGCCAGAATCGGGGTTGTGTCAGATGCTGGCAGCTTTCTCACTGAGAAAGCCCTAGGTTACACCAGTGTGCTGGCACTGGATCCAGCCACTGAGGGAGGGAAGAGACTGTGCACCCTGCAGAATGGGTTACTCCTCACCAGACTGGGTGAATCTCAGAACTGGAGTCAACGACAAATCCAGGTGCCTTAAGTGTGGCTCTGTCCCATATGCTGCTGGGGAAAGCTGCATTACCCTCGTTCCCTCCTCGTCTGCGGATGGACATCAGCATTGCCTCCTTACCCTCTTGTTTCTCATTGCGGCTCCTCTAACACATTTGTGTGTTCCTATCAGGCTTCAGAATAACCCCTTCTCTGTGACAGAAGCCCCATTGGGAGAGTGTCTACTATTTGATATTTAATTATTATCTAGGATGTGCTTTCTGGAGCTGCCCAGAGCTCTGCTCAATAGAATGTGTCTTAGAAATGTGTCCCAGGGCAGACCAAGTCTTGTAGACTAGTGGTTTCTCATCTGCAGTGTTAGCTTTTGCTAGGAGGAGGATCAGGAGGGCAGAGGGGGCAGGCACTCTGGCTTGAATAGTGCTGTATCCTCTTCCCAATTAGCTTGCCTTAGTCTCACTGGAGACCATTTTGAGGCTCCGTGCTCCATCTGTGCTCAGCAGGGCAGGGATTTGCCGTATTCTGTGTCTGAAGGTCTGGTGTTCTGTATCTGGGGCTTGGGATTCTTGTGTCTAGCTACTCAGGAAATCTTGAGAAGCATTTACCACTCTGGGGTGTTAACCAGGGTGAGTTTGAAATTCAAGCTTTTGTACCTGAATTGGGTAGAGAATTGGAAATCATACTTCCTCTGAAAGGAGCTGAACCAATCAGAAGTTGAATCAGGAGGCCATGTTGTTAAGGAATCTGGACTGTTGAGAGCCCTTATCTTGTGGGTGATACAATGGAAGTAAAAAAACTACTTGTATGGGGGGAGACCATGCCTCTGTTCAGAGCTGGCATCTGAGAGGCAGCTCCTGGAGGGGACACATTCTAGCAGACTGGCAGGCCCACCTGGTGCCATGGAGCCTGCTGACTGCACCCCTTCCTCTCCTGTCTTACTCCCGTCCCTCTGCCTTGGAATCTCTTGGGGAGAGCCTGTTTTTTCCTGTGAAGCCTTTGGTCTAAGATGCCCTTCTAGCTTCTCCAAAGAAGATCCTGGTTTATTTCAGTCTATATTCTAAAGAATCAACCTAGGAAATAAAACTAAAAGTAGTTCAGGGCTTATTGGGCTGTCCTCTCATTATGTGTTAGCTCAGAGCTATTTGCAGAGAAACCAGTTTTCAAGGGTATGTAGGACTTCCTGAAGACACCTACAGTCTTTGGGCCATCTGATTCCCAGATAGAGCAGTGATTTGGAGATGTTGGGGCTGAGCATAGACTGGAGATTCTTTTTTTTGTGTGTGAGGAAGATTGGCCCTGAGCTAACATCTGCCAATCCTCCTCTTTTTTGCTGAGGAAGACTGGCCCTGGGCTAACATCCATGCCCATCTTCCTCCACTTTATATGGGACGCCGCCACAGCATGGCTTGCCCAGCGGTGCGTTGGTGCGCGCCCGGGATCCGAACCGGAGAACCCCAGGCCGCCACAGCGGAGTGCGCGTACTTAACTGCTTGTGCCACCGGGCCGGCCCCTGGAGATTCTTGAACTGGCAGTGACTGGGGAATCTTCAACTTATTTTTTCAGTTGAAGTGGAACTCCTTTCTGGAAGAGATTTAAGAGGCTGTGTCTAATGTACGAATTGGATGAGTCTTGCCTTAGTGTGTACTGCTACTCCTCTTAGGCTCCCTGGGTACTCTTTTTTCTCTGTAAAGTCACTTTCTTCTGGTAGCCATTGTCACCATGACCTCAGTGATACTTGGAGAATGGGGACAATCTAGTGTTCTAAAAATCACAGCATAGACTTCTAGCCAGTGTACGAGGATTCCTGATGCAGAGGGTGCTACTGTCCCCAGGGTAGGAGCCTATTGTTGAATCATCGCATTACTCACATTCCATGTTACAGAACATCTTAGCCGCAAGAAAGATCTGGTGGAGGTGAATCCCTAGTTTTGCAGAGGATCATGTAAAGTCATTGAAGTTGTGAAAGTCTATTTTTTTCCCCTATAAATCTGTTTTTCACAGAATATAAGAAACATCAATGACTTGATCTCGCCTTCCTCTTCTTTCCCCTTCACCTAAGATCCATTGGAATTTGTATTGTCTTTGTGTCTAAAGTAAACTAGGTGACTTATTTGTATAAAATGTTATTTTGCCACAAGAGACAGTAATAAAAGAAAGATTTTCACAGTATGTGTACCCTCTCTTTTCTCCTGACTGGGCCCCCGTGTGTTGCTGTGGGTAGCAGGTATGGGGTAGGGGTGGGCTCCGAGTTTCTTTACGTGGGCTTTCTGTAAATAGTTTAATGAGTATAGCTGGTTTCTGCGGTGATTAGGGACCAGTATTGGGCTTTAGGCTTAATATTTTTGCTTTATTTTGCTAGGGGGCTTTCAGAATTAAAAATTTATATACGTATTTTAAAGTTAGGTTTATTAAGCTATGCTTTAACTACAGTAAAATTCACCTTGTTTAAGAGTACAGCTTGATGAGTTTTGACAAATGTATGGTCTTATTACCCCATCACAATCCTGATACAGGGTATTTACATCACCCCAAAAAGTTCCTTCAAGTTTGTGATGTTTGCAGCCAGTTCCCTCCCTCCACCTCAGCCCCTTGCAACCATTGTCTGATTTCTGTCTCTACTAGAGAACTTAGATACCTTTAATATAAAAGGTACATCCATGTTTAAGGTCACAGACAATACAATTTTAAAATTAGTTTGGTTTAGATGGTCCGTGGCACCTGAAGCAATTATTGGCCTCTGCCCACAAACACTACTCACTTATTTCCTCCTCTCTCCTGCCTTTTCCTTTTTTCTTCCACCCAGGGCTGGTGCCCAGGTGAGGTGATGGAAAGATGAGGAAGACCTCGGAGCATTTGCCAACAACAGTCATTCCAGTCATTCTTTTGGCTTTAAAGTACTGTAAATTTAGAGGCTCTCTTTGAAATGTGTTTCTTTTTAAATGAAAGGTAACATATTAAGGACTTTGCTGCATCTTTTGATTGATCTCCAGGAGGTAGAGCAAAGTCTTGGAGGAAGACAGAATTTTTGGCATGTGAGTCAGTGCTGGGGACAGATGCCTGGCTGAGTTATGGGGGAAGAAAGGCAGCTGGAGGGATGTGTGGGGGCCTGGGAGGGTGTGGGTGCCACCCAGCAGCCTGTGGAAGTCTGACTCACACTTGTGCTAAGGGAAGACCCTTGTCAGGCAAGTGAAATCGCCATAGCTTCTTGGGCAGGTGAAAGTGTCCTGACGAGCATACTAAGGATCAAATGCGTGGCATTAGCGGGCAGTGCCTCCCTGCTCCCAAGGGGGATCTGATATCGAACCAGAAGTGAGTTCTCTCACCCGTCACACAGCAAGCCAATCTCTGACACTGGGTGTAGTGGAAGAAAGTAGGAATTTTGTCACAAAGCACTGAAGAAGGAGAACAGGCAGCTAACGCTGTAATCCCAAACTCCCTGAAAAGCTACAAGCAAGGGTTTTTATTTGGGGTTTTAGGTAGGGGAGGGGGAGCATGTGGCCTTGGGGACTGAAGTTCTGAGTCCTCCACACAGGCATGACTGTTCTATATGTTGAATATGGTGGATTTTTAGTCTGTGAAGTGTAAAGTTTACAGTCAGTCATTGTAGCTTCTCAATGCTCCTGCAAGATGCTTAGTTGGGTGAGGGGCTGTCAGCAAGTTCCTGTCTTATCAGCAGTCCTCCTGCTGTTCTGCAAGGCAGGCTCAGAAACTTTGGTTATTTTGTTTCCCATGTTAGCCTTGTGGGTACAAGGCACAGTTTTTTCACCCTAATCCATGGAAGTTTTAACTCCTTCATCCTTAGTTTCAATACCCACTCTCTTTTGATCATTCCTCAATCTTGGGGAATGGGGGCGAAGACCACTCTAGCTGCTTCCTGCTGTGAAAGGGCGAAGTTCAAGGTCAGGGGAATGAAATTGTTCTACCTTTATTTTAAAATATTCTTGGGTACCAGGTGGGAGAGAGTGAGGTATGTTCTGCATGACTAATATTTTAGTACTCTGATCAATGGCTTTGGAACAACACTTAAGTCCACATTTTATAATTACATGAACAACCACACATATTAGCAAAATAACCCCAATTTTGGTATCCCCTCCACAATGGACCTCAATCCTTGGGGAGTCCAGGAGAAGAGGCCTATAAACCAGTCAAGGTTAGGGCCTGGAACCTCAAGTGAAATCTGATGTAGCCAAATAGCCTGCTGTCTAATAGTCTGACAAGTAAGGTAAGAACCTGGGAGTCACTCATTACTTATCTTTAGGAGACCATCTTCTGTAAGGCAACTTGAGGTCTATCAGAGGTTCACTTGTCCATTCAGAGAAGTCAGCATCTAGAGTATGAAGCCAGCCAGGGTTTGGGTGATCCTGGTTGTGATATTCTTCTATGTCATGGTTCCTGTTCCCTGTGGCATTTCTCATATGATCCCATCTGGCGGGGATGAAGTTGATCTTCTGGGTGCTTGTGTATCCAGGATTTTAGTGGGATTCAGTCTCCACTACAAAGATGATGCAGAGGAACATCTACAGTGTCTATTTCCTCAGTTGGAGTTCTCTCTGGGTCTTTTGGATCATCTCTAGAACATAGGAAGGGTCTGCCAAAGTTAGGCCTATATTGTGTAAGCAAGTAACCAGGTATTTAATAAGAAGCATTTCTTTTTTTTTTTTTT